CCGGGGATCCGCGAGCCGGGGCCGTGGCGGAGCCCGCCGTGCCGCGCCGCGACCGCGCGGGTTTCGGCGTAGTTTCGTCCGCGGCTTCGCAGTTCGCAGACGTTGCGGGGTTTGCTTTGCTTTTGTGTTTGTTTTCACCCTGCGACCTGACCTCACTTTAGCTCTTTCATTTATAAAATGCGCCCTAGAAAGCCCGGGGCCCCTTGTTTCTTGTTCTTACCTTTAAGTGAGGCATTCATCCTTCCCGCCTTTAAATTTCTGTGATTCTGACTCCAAGGATGTTGTTTCTGGAGGGAGGTTGTGGATTAAATGACTCAGGAAAAAGCAAAACCTGCGATGGTAACTGAATGTCTGGTTTCTTTAGAAATTTCATATTCTGAACTACACTGTGGAAGAGTTAGGTTGGTACGTGTAGGCCTTGGAGCCCCATCCACAAGTTGCTTTAAATTATGAGTCAATGTTACTATCCTTCGATTCAACGATTAGAGCTATCTTTTAGTATGAATAAAAACCATGGCTATGTGGACCTTCAAAGTTTAGACCCATTGTTGAGTTGAACAACAGCATTACAAGCGTTTGAAAGCCTCATAAACCATCTGTCCATCCACTTTCACACAAATTGGGAAACAGAGAAGAATACATGCCAAAACTGCGAGTGAGAATTCCTGACTGCACATGAAACCAGTAAACCCTACTGCACAGAACAAAGTATCTGAAAAACCCCAAGGGCTGTGCGGCTGCCATTTCACTGCTTTGGAAACTGAATCGTACAATTTTATAATTGAATTATCTGGTTCTTAAGATCGTCTAGAGTCTAAACTTTTCATTTTACTGATTAAGATCTAAAGCCCAGAGAGGGTAAGTTGCCTACCCAGTATTACCCAGCTTAATTGGAAACAAAGTCAGGATTCAAACGCAGACCTTCTGTCTCACATACTGCTCAGCGCTCAGCTTATACTTGACGCGCATACAGCTAGTTAGTATCAGAATGCTTGGCCTTTGAAGCTTTGCCTGTGTTATCCATGTGATCTATGAAATCAAACTTGGCATTAAGCAGGGAAGTGTTGCTGTCAGAGGCCGTTTGTCCCACTGTTTTCAAGAGCTCCTATTGTGTGGCCTACATCTCTCAGTCAGGGGTCATCTGCATGATCCAAGCAGTTCTGGCGAGAGCTTGGGAGCTGTTGTCCAACCAAGCACATTCATCCTCAGAGATGCCAAGGGCTGTGCCTGATTGTAAGAATTATGAAATCCCTGTCGTCCAGAAAATTGCAACATTATTGGGGAGGTAAATTACGAAGCACAAAATGGTAATTCCACATTAATAATCAAGGATTCAGTTGTAATTTCCAAGTGTTAAGTTGGAAAGTAATCCACCTAAATTAAGAAAAAACATCTTAGAGGCCACAACAATAACAACAAAAGGAAATTATCATTCAGATCGGTGTATGGGGAAAAGGTAAAACAAATTGTGTGAACAAAAATACTAAGAAGAAAATGGAGGAAAGTGAAGAGGACAGCAAACTAAGACAGGAGATTCATTTGAGAAACAACTGCAAAGCAAGCCAGAGTGACAGAGAGGAGGCTCACCCATGGAGGGTCTGAGTGTGAGCCTGGGAAATTTAGTTTAATAGAAAATCATTCTGGGTGGACTGGGGGCCGGAAGAGGGGAAAGAAAGAACAAAATTAAGAGATCAGGTCTAAAGAAGCAAGTGGAATTTTAAAAGAATTGCTGGACGTAATGCCACGGAGGGAAAGACTTGGATCCAGTGATTTATTCAGGGATCAAAGAAGAGTAAGAAACCCCAAGTAAAACAACCTGAGATTTAGGCGGGAGTCCGTAATAGCACACACGGTTCCTAGCACCTTCAGAAGGACGAGGACACCTCCCAGGGACGGCCTCTAAATGAACAGGAAGCAGACATCTTCCTCATCACATCCTCAGAGTGGTAGTTTACTGCTAAAGCATGATCAGGTCAGAAAGAAAACTCTCACCCTGTCCCTGGCGGTTGGGCCTGTGCTGCTGCTCTGTGGGCCAACCTACTTTTATTTCCATTCCAGCCCCAGTGATGTAAAGGTGCTCAGCGGTGAAGTACATGTTACAGTAGAAAATATCATTAAGAGTTTGATAAATGCAGACTAAATATTGCTCAGAACTCTGCTGGGTGTGGAAGACAGAAAAGAAAAAAGAGAAGTGTAAATTAGGCCTGTCATTTAAAAGCAATCTAGAGGAAAAGGGTCAATTTTTTTTAACAAACAGAAAATAATTTCTGTGACCAGTGAGAAAAATCTCTTGGACTATAAACTATAGGAATGTAGGTGAACAGATTAGAAGTGATATGATCCACAGAGTTTATCATTCAACAAATATTCGTTAATGATTAAGCTCTGTTCTAGGTACTACAGTAATAGTAGTAGTAGTTTCGTTGAACCCTAAGAAAGACTCAGATTTCATGTGTTTGACACTATAAAAAAGGCCATCCCAGCACTCAGGAGGCTGAGGCAGGAGGATCATTGCCAGTTCAAGGCCAGCCTGGGCTACAAAGTAACCTCAAGGCCAGCCTGAACTGCATAGTGAGACAAAGACAAAAAAAAAAAAGGCCGGAGGGAGTGTAAGGAGCAAGGAGGAGAGTGCAGGCAATGGAAACAGTAAAGTCATAGGTAGAAGCGCTTTTGAGGTCAGATTTAAGTATGGCCATTTGGAAGCTTAGTCACTCTTGCATTCCAGATTTGAATAAGGAAAGACTGGGACCCAGAAAATGAGCTGGAAGCCTATATGATACTATAGGCAGGAAGTGATGTGGAGTAGACACTGCTGGTGTCAAGATTGGCAAAGAAGCTGAAAATGTCAAGGAGACCGAGTGTTCGGTGTGTAGAGGTGGTAGGAGGTGTTGGCTGGAGAAAGTCTGTGGTATAAAATGCAGCATAAAGGTCGAGGAGATAAGCATTTCAAAAAGGTTCAGCTGCTTAACAACAAAAATGTCATATGTGACCTCCACGAGAAGGCCTCTGTGGAGCCGGGTGCCAAGAGGAAAAGAAGCGCAGGCATTAGACACTGACTGAAAGGATCACTACAACTCCGTGTTCAAAGCGCGTGTACCTCTTCAGGCCATTTACACTTTGGGATACTCTTGAATTTTTAGACCTATTTAAACAGTCCCATGTATGTGTAATTTTTTACTTATTTATTTATTTATTGTCTCCACAGTGAAGGGAAGACACGCTTAAAGTTTCAAAATATACCTGATATGTTTTTCTGGGCCCCAAATCAGTCATACCAATGAGTTCCTGTTCTAAATATAATCACAGAAAGTTCACTGTTCCTCTTGGAATCTGGCAAGAGCCTAACAAGAAAAATACTAAGACTAATATACAGTAATACTGTATCCATTATGGTTCCATTGCTACCATCTGTGAGGTCGGGCTCAAGTGGGTCATGAACATGACCTTGGACACGTCCTATGTTCTCATGGAACTCCAGATGGCCATTACTGAAGAAGGGGAATCACTCAGATCTGGACGTACAGGCTGGTGCTTCCAAAAAAGACAAGACAGTACCATTCTGTGAGGTGCCTAGGAACAGCCACCGTGACTTCCAGGGCTGTGTTTGTAGTCTGTTGCACTAGTTATGCTTTTGTTCAGCAAACTGCAAAACAAGGTTAGGGCAAGATTTCTTACTTTTCTTCCCTAGAAACACATTAAACTATTTTGGCAGACAACATGGGAGGAGAAATCTGAAGCTCCTTTATTTCTAGTGATGCCTCCTGAGCTTCCCAAGAAAAGCAAGCCTGATTCCACACATACATGTGCCTGCTTTTCCTAACTGCATAAGGCTGGGTGGTACAGCGTGTTATTTTCTTAGGTGTTACTGAAAGATAGAATGCTATTAGCACCCTTTTTTACTTGGAATATACTTCTTTTTGGGGTCCAGTGGTGGCAATTGATCTCTTAGGATGGTTTGAAAAGCTTTATTATATTCATTGAGAAAAAAATGTGTAAGTGATTCTAAAAGTAATCATGAAATTTACTTTATTTAATTTGCTGGCCCCAATGCTTTTCAAATCAGTAGTGACCAAGGATTCCTAGCATTAATGAACAATTACTGCAGTGCTGAAACCAACACAATATTTAACCCTAAAAGCCTTATTGTTATAGGTGCTGAAAGAGACCAAAAACCTCAGTAGCCCAGGAAGCATAAAATGTACTCTCTTTTGATGAAATGGTCTCTTTAAATTAGGCTTCAGCTATTTTAACACTATAATGTAAGGGAACTTGCTCGGCATTGTTACCTTCTGGCCTAGAGTCAGGAACATTTTGTACTGTGGTTCATCCCGTACCTTTTATCAAGAATAAACCCATGTTTTTGTTTAAAAACAAACAAAGCTCACATAATCTCTCCTCATGATTAGCCCTTCCAGTAATTATCTGTTGCTTAGAATCAGTGTCAGCCGACCAAGTTCAGATGGCAAAAACAAAAAAAACTGTTTGATCTTTAGTGATGTGATTTAGAAGACTGTGTGCATGGAAGGTACAGCTATGCACACACAGAGAACATATTTATCTAATTTGACTGCCAGTGATTTAATTAATGTTTGTCAAGCACTTTGAACATGAAAAGAACTATCTGAAAGCTGAGAGCTATTACTCATAGTCATTTTTCCTATCTGTTGAACTAAAATTAACATACAAATGTGATACTCTTATGGTATCTTTGAGAAAGATGCTCCTATTCTGAGAAACTCCTTGTCCTATACTTTTAGAAAGTCTCCTTAAAACTTCAAGGCTCTGGTTCCTGAAAGTCAGGCTTCAAGCTGGTTGGGTATCATCTGTCAGTAGAATCTGAAGCATACAGGCTGAATAACATGACAGCTTGGGGGAGTGTATGCACCTGTTAATTGAGAAGATGTTAACAGGGGCAAATCTAAAATAAGAATGCATACCACAACCTGATTTTCAGGAAGTTTCTGTGCATGTCTACACTTAAAATTACCCATATTAACATCTAATTTTTTCCGTCTAATTTTTGCTTCAAAGAATAATTACTAAGGCACAACACTTGGTAACTGAGGGGAAAGAAAAAAGGAGAAGACCTTATTTTAAAGCTTAGAGGAGAAGCAAACATGGTGTTTTCCATTATTGCTTTTACTCTAAGTCAAGTACAAGAATGACTGGCAAAAGCGGAAGAAAACCCAAGGAGGAAATAAAGAGTTTGGACAAAGGCCCTGATCTGACATTATTTTCCAAGTAGAGGTTTTAGCAACATTGCATTCATACCTACAAAGGGTTGGTGGAGCATTTGTCCCCCACCCCAGTACT